GTGCGTGCGCGTGCGCGTGTGCTTGTTTGTTTGTTTGTGTGTGTGCGTGCGTGCGTGCGTGCGTGCGTGCGTGCGCGTGTGCTTGTTTGGTTGTGCGCGCGCGTGTGCTTGTTTGTTTGTGTGTTGTTTGTGTGTGTGTGTGTGTGTGTGTGTGTGCGTGCGTGCGTGCGTGCGTGCGTGCGTGTGTGGAAAGAGAGATAGAGAGCTGGGACAGGGTTGCACGAATGACAACATCTCTCACCATACACGTTCTCTTGGTAGTTGGTACATACCGGATCGCGTTCGCTCTGCAGTGATGATGGAGTGAGTGAGGTCGGTGTTGGTGATCACCATAAATCCGGCGAGCAGTAGCGAAGCAACGGCGAATAAAACACATCGTCCGTGCTTCATCGTGCTCCGATTACCGCGGCAACAAAACCTATCGCGAGTGACAAAGTGACTGCACGGAAGGCGGTTCGACGACCATGCATTCACATATACGGCCCTTTCTCCCTCCGAAACAGACACCGCCTACCCGCTCGTCAAGTCGCGCGTGACCGAACAGAACACGCACGGACACTGGGCGCATATGGTCACGCACGATAGCGCGAGGACATTGTCTAAAAGGAGGAAGCAGAATTAAACGTGTACCCGTGTATAGGCGTGGATAGGGTTGTTAAAGGTGGGCCGATATACAGTTCAAGTTCAAGTTCAAGTTCAAGTAATCTTTATTTATAGTCGGTATGTTACAACGAGAAACATAAGCTCTGAAGAGCTTTTAAGACCGACCAACTTAACAAAGGTTGGCCAATAAATAAAACAGTACATAACAATTTTAACATGCATACTATACAGGCATTCGAGTACATGAATAAATTTTAGGTATTGATATTTACAATTTACAATTTATAGCGTACTTACAATTTTAGATAGTACGCAATACGATTTATAGATGCTATACATTTATAGCATATTTACAGTTTTAAATTTTACAATGCAATTTTATGATGCAAAGTATACGACACACGAGTCAATGGAAAGAGTTATAGTGTTTCGGCGCGGCCACATAGTTTGGCAGATATGGAGATATAGTCCGTAATTCTCAGGAAAAAAAGTCATTATTATTTATCATTCAATATATCACTTTTGAAATATCGTTTTCACGCTATATGGTGCAGGGTAGGGAATAAAGAGAATTCAGAAAAAAACAAAAGTTTCTCTGTTTTTGTAGGCGTGATAATCAGGAATACATATTATCAGGAGTAGATAATAGGGAATTCCCTATTATATATTAATATCTACTCCTGATATTATATA